TTAAATTGTTGGTCGTGGGACCTGAACACTGGATCTGGGCACTGTCCCTCAGCTATTCAGCTCAAGGCTAGCACTCTACCACTTGAGCCACAGCACCACTTCCAGCTTTTTTTGTTTTTGTGGTGCTGAGGAATCGAACCCAGGGCCTCATGCATGCAAAGCAAGCACTCTACCACTGAGCCACCACCTTCCCAGCCCTAGAAATAATTTTTTTAAGTTTTTCCCTCAGCTTTTCTGCCCTTTGCTGAGCCCTACCACTTGAGCCATACTTCTGATCCTGCATTTTGCTGCTTAACTGGTAATAAATTCTCTGACTTTCCTGACAATGGTATCTTTGAACCATGATGCACAAATCTCAGCCTGCTTAATTAGAATTAAAGGCATGACCAACTATCTAGTGCCCAGTTAATGTTTTTCTTTCTTGCATAAAACATCCAGTAGTATAGTTAGGATTAACAGGGCATCTTCCTGTCAAAATCTTGTTACTCTCTTATCCTTAGCATGTGGCTTTACCTCAAAATCCAAGGAAGTTGTTTGAGTTCTGACCATTAACTCTGCATTCCAGCAATCACGAAGGATAGGAGCACTTCAAACACAGCACATAATCCTTTGGATTGCATTCTTTTTTTTTTTTTTTTTTTTTTTTTGACTGTTTGGTAACAGTAGTACTAAGGTATAATGAGGCAGATGTATGCAGATTTTCATTCAGGTGGCTGCATGTTAAACTAAAAGTGGGAACTTCAACTCGGACCTTCCTAAGTACACTATCAACCTTATACTATTCAACCACAAACCAAATTTCAGTGACATGAATTCAGAATGAAGATAATGGGTTTCAAATTAGCATGTTGGTTTCCATTTTTGTTTTAAGAAGATTTTCTGAAATATAAATTGGTTTTATGAGTATATTCATAGATCTTTGATTCAGTCCAGTTAGACATTAGATATTTTCAGTATGAAAATCACTTCATTCCTTTAAAGATAATAGAATGAAATCCACTTTTCCTTTGTTTATATGTAGTATGTACAAAACCAAATTTTGTTGCTGTGTTTGTTCTTAGCAGAACCATAGAACACTTTCATGCACCCCACAACTACCCACATGGGGGAGGCTATTGGGCCTTGGGAATGTGGGTAGAAAAAGATTTTAAATAGTATAGTCATTTTGAAATCCTTCAAAGAACCATGGTAAACCAACAGAGACATATCTATGGTGTTTAGTTCTAACAGTGAGGAACATTGCAAGGAAAGATGCCTAAAAAGACCCAGGGATGGCAAAAAAAAAACAATGAAAAACATTGATCTTGCAAAATATTTCAGTAAATGTTTTCAGGTGGCACCCACTAAATGAAGCAGGGATTTATTTTTTAATTTTTCTCGACATTATGTCATATTTGCTTTTTCCTTCTTTTATTCTAATCACAAAATAATACCATTAAAGAATTTTAAGTAACATCTATCCTGCTTTGTATTCTGTTCTGTTCACTTGTTTAAATATATTCATTTTTCTACAGTCTTTATAACTACCATTTTTAGAAGTCTATATAAAAATCACTTGCACCCTTGTTCTTTTCCTTTTGTTTGGATTTCTACTCTGAAAAATTCCCTCTTTGCTGTCTCAGTTCTGTCTTTCTCAACTGTCCATTAAACATTGGAATAAGCTAGGGGATGGAAAAATTGATGGTAAAAGGATATTAGGTTAAAGAATACAGTTCTTTTCTACAGGGAGGGTAAGTACAAAAGATCCATTTTACATCATAATGACTACAGTCAATAACGGCATATTGTCTACTTGCCACTTGTTGTGAGAAGTACATTTTAAGTGTTCTCTCTCACACAAAAATTACAAATACGTGAGCTAATACCTATGTTACATAGTTTGATTTAGTCATTCCACAAGGTACACATATATCAAAACATCATATTGGAACACGGTAAGCATACACAATTTTTACTTGTCTATTAAATAATTTTTAGTTTCTTAAAAGAAGTTGAGGAGCCGGGCGCTGGTGGCTCACGCCTGTAATCCTAGCTATGCAGGAGGCTGAGATCTGAGTATTGCGGTTCAAAGCCAGCCCGGGCAGGAAAGACCGTGAGACTCCTATCTCCAATAAACCACCAGAAAACCGGAAGTGGCGCTGTAGCTCAAATGGTAGAGCGCTCGCCTTGAGCTGAAGAGCTGAGGGACAGCGCCCAGGCCGGGAGTTCAAGCCCCAAGACCGACCAAAAAAAAAAAAAAAAGAAGTTGAGGACTTCGGGAATTGGATATCTTCTCTACGCTCTTCCTTTGGATATACTATCTCATCCATCTTCCAATTACACTCAAATCTTTAGTTCTGCCCCACTTTACTCATCACTTCTAGACCCATATTTCTAGCTTCTTATATGATACCTCCAAGAATATATTCCTGTCATTTCAAAGAGGTTATTACATTTCCTTAAACCTTAACTCTTTCCTTCAACTTCCCCATCCCTAATTAAGTCTTATTACGCTATGTTAAGATCTTTGTAATATCCATCCTGTCCATTCTGCTTTCCTGTCAGTTCAGGCCTTTATTTGTTGCCTAATTATCCTATGCATTTAGAAATAACCCTACCTTTCTTCCTTGCCATCTTTTAAATGTGATGTAGAAAGTCTTTCTAAAGTTGATTGGGTATCTTCCTAGCTGATAGTTGTGGTGCTCAGTGCAGCAATATGTGGCTCAATTACAGTTAATCTGAATTAACATATGCCAAAGGAAATACTCATTAAATTTCTGAGTCTGTCTCATTGAAATAATGCAACATATATTGTTAATTTCTATATATGGTTAGCTAAATATTTACCTAACCTATTAAATTAATTTTGCACATTTCCTGTTTTAGTATGACTTTTAGAATATTTAAGATGTCACTTGTAGTTGTGGTCTGTATTACATGCTTATTATCAAACAGTGCTGGACAAATTCCATGTCCTACATAGAACTGTGAATTGGCTAATATGTACCTTATACATTTTACCTTCTCCTAGCTGCCATGCAAAGAGGGCTAGTCTGAGCCACAGTGCTAGAGCACTTGACTAACCTGCATGAGGCTCTGGGGCAAGTTAGCAATGTGATGGTAGCTTTACTGTCTGCCTGATCTCAGGTCATATCTCCAAATGAAAACATAAAATAAACATAAATCATCCACTGTATAAAATTTAGTTCTTTCATATATATATTTCCACCCACCATGCTCCTTACTGCCCACCTACTATTTCTTCCTCTTTTCTATATATGGGATTTCAGTGAACTTCCTGCGTGTTAAAAGGATACAATCCTCTTTCTCTGTTTAGTCAGTGAGGTTTTTCTTTTCATTCTTCCTCTTTCCACCAAATGTTGTAGCTGTGAACTTGTGTTTCCCTTATCTTTTTTTTCCTTTTCTTTTTTTGTTCTGGTTATTAATGTTCTTGGGCTCTGTCCATTAGAATTTTCTGGTCAAGGCTTTCACTACTACTTGAGTCATAGCTGTATTTCCAACTTCTCTTGATTTGCCAACTGGAGTTATTGAGTCTCACAAACTTCCTGCTCAGACTGGCTTAGAAGTACATTCCTCAGATCTCAGTCTCCTGAATAGCTAGAATTGCAGACATGAGTCATTAGTGCCTGGTTCCCTTCATTTGTATTCAATATCCTGTCCTAGAAAGACTTCTTTAAAAGGATAAATTATTGGGCTGGGAAGGTGGTTCAGTGGTGGAATGCTTGCCTTGCATGCATAAGGCCCTGGGTTCTATTCCTCAGCACCATGTAAGCAGAAAAAGCTGGAGGTGGCACTGTGGCTCAAGTGGTAGAGTGCTAGCCTTGAGCTAAAAAGCTGAGGGAAAGTTCCCAGGCCCAGAGTTCAGGCCCCACAACCGACCAAAAAATTAAAAAACGGGATAAATTACTGTAACTAATATTGAGGAAGTCTCAAGTCAAATGAAGCACATAAAAAAATTTTAGCTTGTCTTTGTCCCACAAGAGAATTTTTTTCTCTGTGATCTGGTACCTCACAGTTAATTCTTTAAGCAAAGTAGGATTTAAGTTTAACCTTGGACTAACATCAGAAACAATGTCTTCTCCATCACCATCCTTTTCTTAACCCTTCTGCCTGTGTAGGAACTAAACATTTAACTAACCCATCAATTAGTTCATTAGGATGAGAAAGATTCAGATTTTTAATTATCCACTGCCTCTTAGTATTTCTGACATTTGACACCTTCAGAAAAATATAGGAATAAATCCTCAGAGTGTGTTTGATGGCTAGAGCTGTCAATGATACGGGTAAGGTGAAATATTTCAAATTCTGTCGCTGTCAGGCATTTCCATGAACATTTTTTAGATGTTTCACTCATGGCTTCTCAACACAGTTTTTCCACAGGAAGCTTCGGTACACAAAAGAATTCTCTCCATTATAAAATATGGCCTTTCACAAGACATACTCACCTTGGCTTTATACAAAGTCATCATTTCAAAATGAGTAAAAGATATGGATTAGATTAGAACTGAATGCAAATGTGTTTTGCAAATAGTGTCTTTTGAGATAATCACAGATGATGGTTGAATGCTGAAGTATTAATACAATCAGTATTTAACCTTGTATAACTCAGCTTCATAAAATTGCACCCTGCACATTGATTGCATTAAGCTGGGTCAGTGGTTTCTTGCTCAGAAATATCCTTTAAGAATCTTAACAAGAAGGCAGAAGTAACAGATCAGCTACTGTTTATTTGCATACTGAGCGTGTCATCAATAATACAAAAGACAAGGTCTTTAAGTTGAAAGAACAGTGGGATTGGCATGAATTTTGCTTAATGGTGCATAATAAGCAAAGTAGTCTGTGGTGCCAGAAACTGACAGGATCCATTATGTTAAAACAGATATATGTCTTTAATTTAGGGGTATTATGTAAATCTGACAGGAGTTTTTCCCCTTTATTTTCCTGTAGTTTAACTTTAATTGCTCCAAGATTAATTCCAATTTCTCCTTTCCTCCAGAGGGTGATGAGACTGGTGTGATGGATAATCTTCTAGAAGCCCTGCAATCAGGTGCAGCATTCAGAGACCGTAGAAAGCGGATTCCGAGGAACTCAGGTAATACCCCACTCCAAGTAACATAGGCATGAAATGGTGACTGTTAGGTGTCAACCACTTCTTTGCAAAAACAAAACAAAACATAAAAAAGGATGTGGACTTTTTCATGAAGACTCTTTCCTAACTGTTGATCTCAGTTCATATATGAAATCTCAGCAGGCTTCTACATCTACATGATTGAAACTTTGAAGTTGGCAAATGTTAGCTTGAAGTAATGGTATGATATGCAAAAAAATAACTATTGAAATAAGAACTCCTACAGTGGTTAATATTAAATATCTTGTTATTTTATGGACATGTGGTTTGGGTGGAAAGTGATTTAAAACCATAAATAAAATTAAATTATTAAAAATAATTGGACCACGGATGTCACAGCAACCATTAGCTATTTTTGGATAAGGAAACTGAGACAATGCCTATTAGTATAGGCCATTTTGGTTTTTATTATGATCTATTTGTTAATAATAGGAAAACAGACAAAACTAATCCATAATCAAAAATCAAAAAGCATTGCAACATTTGTCTCTGTATATTTGATAAAGCTACACTATGAACATTGATAATGAAGGAAAATATAAAAGAAGCAGGCCACCCCTTCTTAAGTGGAACTAGAACGTTGTCCTTATTTATTCATACTCAATTGCAGAGATAAATAGTAGCTCATCTCAGGATAATCCAGCTGAGTTTACCTGTCTACCACCTCCAGGTAAGGTTTTATATTTGCAATGGTCCTATTTCTAGAAATAGAGGAAGAAAGTAGATATGCTGACTTTCAGTTTCCCCTTCCCAGGCTATAAAGCTATCTAGATAAGTAAATGTAAGAAGAAAATGAATAGCAAATATGTAAACTCTACTTAATTTAAATAAGGAGGATTTCACTTCAATAGCATGTGCTGTATGTGGGCTGAAAGTTGATTATGTTTCTAGAATGGAAATTGGTAGCCTGAAAAGCAATGTAATTTAGTAAAGCAATAAATGAACAGGGAGCCAGTGCAAAGTAGTCCACAAAACCTTGGGTGATGGTGATATTAGTGACCAAAGCTAATATAAATGATAATCATCTTTTTTTTCCTATTTGAATGTTGATAGGTTGTAGGTAAAATTCTACTACTTCCCTTTAGGGCTAGCCTCTGGAGAATAGCCTAAAGCTGATTTGGTTGTGAGTAGAGAAGGCTTTTGGTTGGACAATAAGACAGTTTTGTGTCTATGGAGATATTGAAGATTGTCTACAAAAAGACTAGAAGGCATGAGAAAACGATATGAAAATATGTATTTATATGGTGGTTATACATTTTGTAAGGCAATGTTGCGTGGCAGAAAGCTAGGAGCTTTGCTAATATGCACTTATGAGGCAGCCATTGCACCTCTCTTTGGTCTTTATCTGTAAAATGAGAATTTTCTACCATGCTGTCAGAGGCTCCTTCTGATGCTAAAGGAAAACAAAAGCTGTCACTGTTCTTTCTTGAAGGATCAGAGCAATAATAGTTAAAAGTGAACTGAACTAGTTTTTTGTATCATTTTAGTTCTCCGTTAAGAAGCTGTTAATTAAAAACATGTCATTCTGGGCCATTAAAAAAAACTTTATATAAGCTTCCTAGTCTGCTTATTTTAAAAATGCACATTTGCAAAGGACCCTGCCTGAAAAGTCGTTCACTTCATTCCAATTCTAGAAAGACAGTACCAGAAGAGAGATTTTTCCATGTTCTTTCTGTGTGTTTGATACTGAAGGGAATATAGTGTTGTCAACAGTGAAATACCAAGCTTATATTCACAAACTGTATAAAATACTAATTCTGAATAATCTAAGTTGAGAGCACCCTTGGTTCATAGCTAGAATGTACTTGTAAACAAGATAAAAAAAAACCATATAGCTGTGGTTGTCTGGCCAAATTGCAAAAGTATTTGGATAGCCAGAAGTGAAGACAATCTAGCAACACACAGTGCTAAAGGTAGGTTAAATATCTGGAATACTAGAAGAGCTGGAAGCCCCCCCCCCCCCAGAAAAAAAATGTGTGCTTGCCTCTTTCTAGAAGCAGCAGAGCCAGGAACTTTTTTTTCTTTAGTTTGTCATGGGTCTTGAACTCAGGGCCTGGGCACTGCCCCTGAGATTTTTTTTTTTGCTTAAGGCTACTGCTCTACCACTTTCAGACACAGCTCTACTTCTGATTTTCACATTGTTATTTGGAGATGAGTCTCCTGCACTTTCATATCTGAACTGGCTTCCAACCATGATCCTCAGATCTCAGTCTCCAAAGTAGCTAGGGTTAAAGGTGTGAACCACCAGTGCCTGGCACCAGGAACTTTTATAGGTTTCTTTCTTGTCATGCCTTTCTACCTAGATGATCTTTTCTTACTGGTCCTGAGTTGTTTTCTCTTTCCAAGATCCATTGATTTGGTTAGATTTTCTTCATTGACTGGAATCCATGCTCTTTTAAAGTAAGTTCCACTTGGATATGTTGAGAGAAAGAAAAATAAGAGGCAATCCATCCCCTCCCCTCAAATAAAATCAGTCAACCAACACCACACAGCAAATTGTCCTATTGTATTGGCCATCTTCATTAGCATCACTTATAGATAGAAATCACTGTATGAAAAATACAGAACTCTACTTTTGTGTTTTTTGTATGCAGTGTTTTCAGTTCTATATTTAATCAATATGAAATGATAGCCAATACTTTTCAGTGGAAAATAAAAAATTAATGAATTACATAATTGCCTAAATCATAGATCCTTCCCAAAAGACATTATATTAAGTAATGAAATGCTTCTCAGAACAAACTCCCAAATATTGTCCTTGGCCCATAAAATGGAGGCTAGGCACAGTGGTACCTACCTGTAATCCCAGGTACTTTGGAGGCATAAATTCCAGAATCAGGCTACTTTCAATTTAACACCAGCCCAAGCAAAAAATTAGTGATACCCTCATCTCAACAAATAAACTATATAAGACAGTGCTTGCCAGTTAGATAGGAGACTTAGGTATCAAGATGATGGTCTGAAGCCAACTTGGCATATAAACAAGTGACTCTGAAAAAAAAAAAAAACTAAAGCCAAAATGATGGGAGAAGTGGTAAAGTGGTAGAGCAACAGCCTAAACAGTATGAAGCCCTGAGTTCAAATCCAAATACCACCAACAAATAAAAAGGAAAAAAGATATTTTCAAAGAAGACTCTCATATCAACAGATATGATACTAAAAATATTACTAAATGACACAGTGTAAGCTCCCACCACTCAGAATGTACAACAGCAATAAACCGCCTCTGTGGTTAAACTGGTGCATAGTAGCTGATTAGTAACCCAGAGCACAAGCTTTGCTGATGTCAAGCTTAGATTAGGAATTGAGCCCTTAAATATTGATAAATTTATTGTACATCTGTTTTGTGAAATGTACTGTGCTAGACATTATAGAAGATGCAGAAATAATTTAGATAAGGTTATAAACCCTTTGTGTCTTGTAAGAAAGATAAAATGTGCAGGAAGAATACAGAGTAAGACACAAGATAAGAGGTATCAGAGAAAAGGTGTTAATAACATCATATGTGAGTTCAGAGGAAGACGATAGCATGCCTTATTGGATATAGCAGAAAAATACTCCTGAAGGAAAAGGCTTTGGAGACTAAGTAGGGATTTCAGCAGTGTTAGCTGGAGGGTGGGGACAGTAGCATTCCAGTCAAATGAAATGTCATAAAAACATAGAAGTAAACAAGCACAAAGCATAATTTTAGCCAATGATTAATAGGATATATAAAGTAAAATGAACATTAGGGAAATAATTCTGAAAAAATTGACTTAGAGCCACATCTTGAAGTAAGAGACTAAGTTCCTAGCATATAATTCCTTAGGAAATAGAGATCTAATGAAAGTTTTTAAGCAATAGGAACATGATCAAAGATAAGCATTAGGACCTTTAAGCTACAGGGAGTAAATGATAAATTACATGTCTACTGTCAGAGTAGCTAGGTGTCAAAGATAATCCTAGGGTTTTTAGTTTGATTGGCCAGAAGGACAAATTGTGGTACTATTAAGAACAGGGAAAGGAGTGGTGATTATAGAAAAAGATAAGCTAAAATTGGTAGCAGAGCAATGAAATTAAGATGTTCTTAAGCTTCTTGAGAAATATGAGTACAGATTTCATGACAAAATGTTTGCATTCTTGAGCTTGTTAGTTGAGAGACATAAGAGTTTTGAAGATGCTTCCACTCAGGCCTTAAAAGCAGAAGGACAGGTAGGAGGAAAATCCAGACTTTGTTCTAAAAGGAAAGAAAGTGGGAAGTGTTTGTTTTTTGTTGTGCCCATCCTGGGGCTTGAATTTGGGGCCTGGATGCTATCCCTAAGCTTTTTTCTCAAAGCTAGCACTCTGTCACTTGAGCCATAGCTTCACTTCTGGCTTTTTGGTGGTTAATTGGAGAATAGAGTCACATGGACTTACTTGCCCATTCTGGCTTCCAACCACAATCCTCACATCTCAGCCTCCTGAATAGTTAGGGTTACAAGCATTAGCCACCAGTGCCCAGAAGAAGAATGAAGTTTTAAGGAGACAATTCATATTTTGTAGTAGAATCCAAACGATAAAGACTAATTGAATTATCATTTTGGAGCTTTCTCATGACTTTAAAAGAATATCCTTTCAATATTGTAATAAAGCTGCAAATCAGAATGCAGGCACTATGCAGTGAATAGATGATGATGCTAAGAGAAGGCTCTTTTTTTTTTTAAATTTAATTTAATTTTATTTGTGAACATACTGTACAGAGGAGTTACAGTTACATGGGCAGGATAATGCATACATTTCTTACCAAGCATTGCAGCCTCCTCCTTTGTTTACCCTTCACATCCCTTCCCAGCCTCCCCCTCCCCCCCTAATCCCAATCCTTCTCCTTCCCCCCCTTCCCCCCTTCCCCCCCCCCCCCTCGGCGCCAACGTTGTAAAGCTCGTTTTGGACATGACAACTTGTACTTCTCATTGTTGCAACAGGTCCACCTGTATCCTTAAACAACT